CGTAATTATCTCTAACTAATATAATCGTAATTATCTCTAACTAATATAATCAACCGGCTAAGACTCCCCCGCAGTTTGAGCGGGAGTAGAGCAAACGCTCAAGCTGGATCGGAAGAACTCGAACAACTGTCGTGGGAGGCCCTTGGTAAAAATGTCAGCGTACTGTAGAGAGGAAGGCACGTGAAGAACGCGAATGTGTCCAACTCGAACTTTGTCCCGAACAAAATGAATGTCAATCTCGATGTGCTTGGTTCGCTGATGTTGAACTGGATTATCAGATAAGTAAACGGCAGACACGTTGTCACAATAAACCACGGAAGCTTGCCGAAGAGGAAGCTGTAATTCGAGGAGTAAATTGCGAATCCAAGTGGCTTCTGCGACAGCATTAGCCACGCCTCGATATTCCGCCTCGGCACTAGATCTGGATACGGTCGGCTGACGTTTAGAAGACCAAGAAATAAGATTATCACCAAAGAAAACACAATAGCCGCATCATACGACGATGTCATTCTTTCGGAGCGGCCATTTTGGGAAGAAGTTTGTGGGCAAGAAAAACRAAACAAAAGGCCATGTTGTTGGGCAAAACTTTTGAAAGCATGGTTATCGAACTCACCCCCCAGATCGCATTGGAAAGTTTTGATGTTATGATGGAACTGTGTGGCTATCATACGATGGAACTGTGTGGCTATCATACGATGGAACTTGGCAAAGGTGGGGAAAGTTTCGGATTTATATTTAAGTGGGTAGACCCAAACAAAATTAGAAAAGTTATCGATGAGGACCATGTAATATTTATATCCAGTTTTGCTAAGGATAGGAGACGTCCATAAATCACAATGTATAATGTCAAACGGRGTAAACGTAAATGAATTGGATTYATAAAAGGGCAATCGTTTACTATTAGATAGATGACAAGAATGACAAAAATTGGAGTTTTTATTGTGATTACAAGGAAAATTAAAACGTCTACGAAGTACGTCTAAGACTTGAGCACCAGGATGTCCAAGTCGATCATGCCAAGGCAGGGATGTGGATGCAAGGAAGCAGGCTTGTGGTGGTAGAAGTGGTGGAGTAACTGGATAGAGAGTCCCCGAGCTATTGTGGCGGGAAAGAAGGCGGCCAGTTTGGAGGTCCTTTACAGAAAAACCAAAAGGGTCAAACTCAACAGAGACATTATTATCACAGGTAAAACGGCGTACAGACAAAAGATTCTTTATAATGTGTGGGCTATAAAGGATATTGGGTAAAATGTAGGTACGGTTATGTATGTGTAAAAAACCAGTGCCAGAGCCCTCAATTGGTAACAAATGACCGTTACCWACCAAAAGTTTAGTATTTGTAGGAGAAGAGTCAGGGAGTTTAATCATACCTCGGTTGTCAGTGACACGTTTTTCAGCGCCGGTGTCCATAATGAGACCCGGATCAGTGAAATTGAGTTGCATATTGTTGATGGTTGCACTGAGATCAGAAGGGCTTAGGGCGTCATAACCTGTTGGTGCAGCAGCTGGGGAGCCATATCCCGGGTAGCCTGTGAAGTGGGCTGCAGGGACTTGGTGGGCATTCTGATTTGGGCGCCAATTGGTCTGTGTGGGGTAAGGGCAGGGTGGAGTATTCCACCATGCCCATTGAGGATAAGATGGCTGCCCGGAAGGAGTCCGAAAAGCCCAATTAACATTGTTTGACTGGCTTCGGTATCCGCGCCCACGACCCCCGCGACCCCGGTACTGATTTCGACCTCGTCCCCGACCCCGGAATGGCTGACCTGTTGGTTGAAATTGAGCAGGTGGCGGGATCGGGGTGGAGGTGTTGTTTGGTGGGTTCGGGCAGTGTAACAGTGGGTTCGGGGTTGGAGTTTGGGCTGTGGGGGCCACCAGTACCGACGTGGACTGCTGCTGGCGTGCCTCTTTTCTGATTACTTCATCACGTAGCATAGTTGTTGCAAGATCCCAGTCAGCTTCTTGTGAGTGAATAATTTGAGCAGTGGTGTCAAACTCCTCTGAAAGTTCCACGAACGAGTTGTAATACTAACCTTTTGTCGTTAACGGGCTGATCAACAGCAGCAAGTTGATTTGCAAGGTTCTTCAGTTGTTGGCAATAATCATCGACTGAGGAGCAGGCTGCAAGAGTTAGGTTGACGAACTGGGTTTCGAGTGCACCAGCCTTCGCTTGTTTGTTGCTGAGAAAWWTTTTCTCAAGCTGAAGCCAGGTGTCATGTGCAGTGGCATCCATGTCGAGGACCCGGGTGAGCAGGTCGTCGGATAGAGTGCTGTAGATCCATTGGGAGACAAGTGCATCCAATTCTTTACAAGCTGCATATTCCGTATCCGTTGATTCCGGCTGTGGGGAACCGTCAATGTGATTCAGAACTTTATAAGCAATAGCATTGAATTTAAAGAGTTTAACCCAGGAGGTGTATGAAACTTTGGTACCATCCAGGGTTCTGATCTTGGATTGAATATTGGAAACGGAATAGGCTGGGTGAAGAGAGGGGACAAATGGTTTAGAGGTTCCGGTGTCAGCAGGTTTGGTCATGATGTGTGGATAGGGTTTGTACGAAACACCTCTTCCGTGCGATTGGCCGGAAAGTGTCGTACGATAGCAAAGTGACGGCGGTGATTGAGGACCGTCGGATGCGGAATTTAGCAGGTGTTAAGAGCAAAGAGCTTCTGATTTGGGTGACGATATAGGATCGGAAAAAAATAAAGAAGGAGAAGGGTAATCAGGCCGTAGCTCTGATACCATAAAAGTTTGCAAAACTCGATACCTTCATCATTAACAGAAAATCCCTATATATAGGGTATGTACAAAGAAACCCTAACGGCTATAATTAATGATAAATATAAATCAAATCCGTAATTATCTCTAACTAATATAATCGTAATTATCTCTAACTAATATAATCGTAATTATCTCTAACTAATATAATCAACCGGCTAAGAAATACACCCGAGTTTTTCACAAAGTCCAAGAGCCGTGACCACAAGTTCAATGACTAAACTTATTAGTGCATGGTCCTTTTTTCATTTATGGTGATGGCAAGTTGGCAACTAATGGGAGCGAGTAAAATATGTCAAGTGTTTGTTCCAAGAAACTTGTTTTTAAGAGCACATAAGACAGGGAGCTCAGTTATCCATCGTTCTAGAAATCTTATATCCCAACTTTCAGCTACTTGAGAACAATTTTTTTCTCACTGCTGAGCTGTGAACCCAATAACTAGCCTTCTAGTTATCTGCTTCCATGATCACTGCTGAGCTATTGCCTTGTAAAGTGTCTTATAAAAGCTATAAACAAAAATCTATGGATTTCATCCATAAAATAAGTCTATGGATCAGTAATATTATAAGTATCATAGGTCAACCCAAATGGGCCAGAACATGAATCATACAAATTTCTTAATCACGAGGGTTTTAACATTTTCTGAACTGCACTTTCTAAAGTAAAACCACAATCTGCTGGATCATCGTGGTTTTTTAAGGATTCTTTTAATGACTCAAACATAAAGCAAATAGAGATTAAAGTATTGTCTTAAGTGTCAACCTATACATTTAACAAAATAGCAAAAATATTATCTTAATTTCTTGAACTAAATCCTCTACTCAACCATCTCAGCATGAATGGCTCCAAAAGATTGTGATTATGCATTTTTATTTCCAAATTCTTAAAGGATACACCATCAACTAAGCATATTTCTATATACCAATGACATAATAGCACTTCAATTCGGCAATGCTCATTTCTTGTTTAACTATGTCCAAGGTTTTCCTATTTGAGAAAGTCCGGAATGTAATGACCTAATTACCTTTGTGAATTAGTAACTCTAATCACCACTCATTAAACGGACAAATCCATAGAGAATCTCCAACCATGTCATCAAAAAAAACACCAAATATGGTGGGCCCATAAACACTAAAAAAACTCAAATCCAACCACACTCTTAAAAAACACCAAATTTATGGACCCCACATTAAAATAACATATTTTATTTACTATTTTTTAATAACAATAATAATACAATTTGTAATAGATATTATAATAATTAATAATTAATTTATTTAACGAAGACCTGTTAAAATAAAAACGATAAATTTTTAATAAATAAATTTTATATTAAAAAAGATTACATTAATTCAAATAGCACAAATTAAAAAACACATAAATAATACTAATTCTCCGAGTTAGTAGACTCGTCACACAAATGATCAATTAATGCATTACGAAGTTCAAAGTGAGCATCTTTATTCGTGATCTTTTTGTGTCAAGCAAGAAATGTTCAAGTCCACCATTGTTATCGTTCATCATCTCAACTCCCATGTCTTGCACTTCACTTCTTCTTCAATTGGTGCATTAATATCACGTTCATCTTCTATGATCATATTATGCATAATGATGCACGAAGTCATTATATCATGCAATATTTTTTTCCTCCATAATCGTGCAAGTCTTTGGATATGGCATGCATTTTTTGGTTTACCGGGGTCCAACAATGACATTAATGTGTTGGAGTCCTGCCATCTTTTTGCAAATTTTACAGCAGGTATTGCTCCTCTTGTTCAATGTCAATCTATTCACGATCCACGTGGCCCTAAAAAACAATATTTTGCAAAGAAACAAGAAGCATGTAGAAAAGACGTAGAACGTGCATTTGGCGTATTGCAATCAAGGTTTGCAATAATAGCAGACATGCACGATTATGGAGAAAGGAAATATTGCATAATATAATGACTTCGTGCATCATTATGCATAATATGATCATAGAAGATGAACGTGATATTAATGCACCAATTGAAGAACGAAGTGAAGTGCAAGACATGGGAGTTGAGATGATGAACTATAACAATGGTGGACTTGAACAGTTTCTTACTCGACACAAAAAGATCAAGGATGAAGATGCTCTCTTTGAACTCGTAATGTATTAATTGATCATTTGTGGGACGAGTATACTAACTCAGAGAATTAGTATTACTTATGTGTTTTCTTTATTAGTGCTATTTGAATTAATGTAATCTTTTTTAATATAAAATTTATCGTTTTTATTTTTAATAGGTCTTCATTAAATAAATTAATTACTAATTATTTATTATTATAATATCTATTACAAATTATAATTATTGTTATTAAAAATAGTAAATAAAATATGTTCTTTTAATGTGGGGTGCATAAATTTGGTGTTTTTTAGAGTGTGGTTGGAGTTGAGTTTTTTTAGTGTTTATGGGCCCACCATAGTTGATATTTTTGGTGTATTTTTGGTGACTTGGTTAGAGATGCTCTTAGACTTTTGCACCCATTTTACTTTGTTTCGTTTCTATAGTTTTTTACTTCTTTTATAAGGTATGTGCGCAATTGAAAAAAATCAGTGTAAAAAGGTCTCTTGCCCAGCTTATGAAAGAAGTAACAAGAATCCAAGAAGAATTGTGTAAATGAATTTGTTTCACAAGAATCCAAGAAGAATTGTGTTTAATACAATGGCATGATATGTGAGAATGGGAACAGTAACATGGTTTTTCACAAAGGAAAAAACAAACCTGGTACAAGAAGAGAAGTAGTCCATGAGCAAAATGAACCCATCTTGGTGGCGGAGAATCCAAATGAGGTGAATATATCTAAAAAAGTGTCCACACATAAAATACAAATTAGTGTGTAATGTTGCAAAGAAAAACTTGATGGCTAGAGTCAATTTTTTACTAACAATTGAATGCAAACTTAAACACTAAAATGCATTTTTGTAATTAGAATTGCAATGTACATTGTAAGGAACACCTTCAAGGATGTGACATATCAGACCATACCAACTTTGGTATACTATGAGTAGTAGCATTCACATGATAAATGGCCGAGTCGCAAGTTTTTTGCAACTTCTGTCTTCTGCTTCTAACTGTTCTAAACAAAGTCCAGAATCCATATTTTCTGGTAGGAAGGATGTATTGGTAGTTGATGCAGGATTTATTGGAGCAACTTTCATTGCCAAGAATATAACATAATAAGGTGATGCGATATGGCATGTTCAGTAAACTACTTGTTCTAATAATCCATAGGGTCTATAACTTCAATTTTAAAGATGAGAATATCATAAAAAATATTTAAAAGAAGAGTATTGCTTTTTCCCGCACGCCAGATTACAAAATGTTTTGCCAGGAGATGGACCAGTATTTTAATATAACATACCTTTTATGCCTAAAATAGGAAAAGAAGAAGAAGTCAATAAGACCAACAACTTTAGCTAAGAAGTGAAATTTTGAATAAAGTTTTCAAAGAGTTCCGTCCCCTTTTTAAAAAGAAGTGTAGAAATAGCTTGAAAAGGCTAACACCTCATGCCCTATATCTGAGACGTCATGTATTCACATAACAAACTATAAAACCCATTCACTCACATAGCCAAGCACTGCAGAGACGAGTAGGAACATGAATCCTGTGAGTGTAATCTGAAAAGAGAAACATGTTTTAAGCCAAGGAAATGGAAGAAAAATCCTTTAGATCATGTATCAAGGCAGTATAAGATGGTTGAAAAGGCATGTGTACCATATTAGGCCTGAGCCATCCACATTCCACGATATGCAAGAAGAAGATAAAAGTGGTTAGTGAGTAGTGACTACATATAAGACTTTAAGAACCAATCCAGATAAGGGGTAGAGAGAGGGAACCAATACATTCCATCATATCTCTAATTTATCAACAAAATACTTGCAATCAGATACGTTTGTAATTGCTACCACCTCTTGTAACTCAAAAAACAACAAGGTTTCAAGTTTTCATTGCAATCATATACCTTTCATCATATGAAACAATCATTTATGTTGAACATGCATACATGCACACCACATGTTCATTTCCAAATGAAACCAAAAATGTACCACATAATTAATAGTTCAGTCGTATGAAAAAACACAAATAAAAGCTTAGTGCTACTTACGGCATCCAAAGAGGGAAGAAAGTAACAAATCGAGTCCAAAAGGGTTGTAGGACATATTTTGCAACATAAGAGTGATCAACTCCACTGTACTTGTATCTATGCAGTGCATTAATGCCATGAGCGCCTATATAACCCATTGTGTAAAATGATGTTTAGCTTTTCCAACCTGCCAGTCATGAATAACACGGTTAGTTCCCATTCAAATCAAAGAAAAAGACAATACCACGATAGCAACAGCATTTTGTAGGCAATACTTTCAACCACAATCAATAGTTATCAAAACCCACACAAAAAAAAGATAAGGTTCTCAACATTCACTGTGATACATATCATATATCAAAGTTAATAGTCACCGGATGACACGTTTCAGGAAGACATTGAGACAATTCTAGCCAACCCTACTATCAGTCTACAGTGATATAGATGGCAAGAACAACATAATGGATGAAATACTAAGGCGGCATGTACACATTTACTTAGGGTCTTGAAATCAAGATGGGTACCTATGGCCATGAATCCATTAACCAGTAGGTAACATACTGCTCGCATTAGTTTTACAATGGTTTTCAGTGTCTCTTTATCACCCACCCTCCCATTTTTCCCCTGTTTTTTTCTAATTTGAGGGACGTTTGTCTTTTGAAATGTTTAGTTGTTGCATTAGTTTAGATATCTGTACACATATTTTACCACCATCACAGTTACCATCAACCACACTTCGCCACAAAAACGATCTTCGTAACTTCAAATCTCCACCAAAGTTCAATCCCGTGGTTCCTCAAACTTTATCCAAATCTAACCTCTAAGAAAAACTGGCGATTTCCCCTATGAAGTTGGTTTTTCATGATTCTCCAAGAAACCAAGCTATCCGAACTTCTAAAACCATAGAAGCATCAAGAAATTAAGATTACATGTTGCATCGAGGAAGAAGATGCAAAAAGATTGAACAAAAATGGGATGTTTATTTATCAAACAGTATACAAACATGAAAACCCATACCCGGAACAGTGTGATGTTGCATGCGCACAATATCTAACTATGAGTGTGATGATCAAGATTCAAGATCGCAATGAACAAGAAAAGGAAAACATCACTTTACATGAAAATCTAGAGAAAACGAAGTAGAAAGTAGATCTGAGATTGAGCGTACCAAGAAACCCCGATTGGAGGAATGCAAACTTTAGATTCGATTTAGAGAAATATCTCCCGCCCTAGAGGTTAAAAAGCGAGCATAAAGAAAAATTCGAAAGGATCAACTTTTTGGCACGGATCGATTCCCTTCGGGTGGTGAATGACTCCAAATATATTCTATTAAAAAATTTAAAAATAATTTTTAATGTATAAAATTTTATATATTTATGCATAAATGTATAAAAGTTTTTAAAATATCTCATAATGCATTAAATACTACTACTTTATGCATTCATTCTTAAAAATCTCTTAATCTATAATTAAAAATAATACATAGTACAAGTTATCAATGCACATTATTGTCTTTTTTTTCATGTTTCCAATGTACTTTTGACATCTTTCACTCATGTTTTCACTCTCTCATATCTCTATGTCTTCTCTTCATCCCTCAAGGTGAGATTCAAACTGATATTCACCATGAGTTATTAAAAGTTCTCTTATTCATCTCTTATTCAATTGTTCTAGAACTCTAAGTCTTGCTCTCGATTTTTCTGATTATTTGCTCTTTGTGTAAATCGAACATATTTGTTGAGTCGTTTAAATATGTTGAATTTTTAATATATTGGGATTTAAACTGTCAAACAATTTTTTCATCGATAGACTGTAATTGGAATCATAATTTTTATTTATTCAAATTGTATTAATATGTAAAGACCAATTGTAACTTATAGCATCATTGAATCTTCTCTAATAAAACCAGTGAAACTTCAAAATCGTTAAAATTCACGGCTCCCGCCGCATTGCACGGGTACACAACTAGTTATTATCATAACCGTAATCCTATAATGAAATCTCGATTTTTATGTTTTACTTTATATTAAGGTTTTAAGAAAATGATAATGTTTTATATTTAAATAAAATATAAATTTGAATATTTATAAAAATTTCTATAGATATAATATGAAATTAACAATTTAAAAATTTTCATTTTTTATATATTTTTTTAGTACAATTTAATCTAGACTTCATTTTAAGTATAACAATATAATATTTTTTATAAATATAATTTTCAGTCCAATTTTTTTATTATAATTCAATTTAAGTTTAATAACGAATTAATTTATTTTAAGTTTGATGATATAATTTTTTACAAAGATAATAATTAAGTATTGTGATAATAATTATATTTAGAATAAGATGTTTATACTGTATTTGATTATGTTTATGGATTAGTTATATGAAATCAAATATACAGCTTTAAAAAGTTGTATTAATGCCAAATTTATTTGTAGTTTTGAATTTTGAATAATATATCATTAAATAGTCACTACTAGAAAACTGAACATTTTCGGCGGACGAAATCCACCGGTAAATTACCGGCGGATTTCCGGCGGACACTAAAAAAGTCAACATTTTTATTGACTTCCAACAATTTCTGGCGGATTTCCGGCGGTTTCTTAATTACTCAGTTTAATCTTGAATTTACAACATTTTACCGGCGGATTTCCGGCTGATTTTTTAATTTTTTTCTAAAAAAAAGAGTAAACAAATTTTCGGCGGATTTCCGGCGGAAAAATAAAAAAACCTTTAAACAAAAAATTAACAATTTTCCGGCGGATTTCCGACGGATAATTAAATATTTTAAAAAAATATATAACCATTTTCCGGCGGATTTCCGGCGGAAAATTAAAAAAAATCTTTAAACAAAGAATTAACAATTTTCCGGCGGATAATTAAATATTTTTTAAAAAAATATAAGGATTTGTTAAGTTAATCAAAATTTAAAAAAAAACGGGCGAAGAATTTCCGGCGGCCGTGATCCGCCGGAAACGGGGAAAATCCGCCGGAAAAACAATCACTGGCGCCCCTTTTTCCGGCGGCCGAATCCGCCCGGAAATCCGCCAGAAATCACTTTATCCGACGGATTTGGCCGCCGGAAAAAGGGGTTTTTTTGGTAGTGAGTACCTCATGCATTAAAAATGATTTTTAATTAAGGGTATCCGCACAATGCAGCGAGATACATCTTGATTTTTATGTTTTGGCTTACTCTTTGTTTCTGTCGATGTTATAAAAACGGTTTTATGTGATTTTGAAAAAGTGATAATGTTTTTAATTTTTAATATAATATAAACTTGGAGATATCTTGGAATTTTGAAAAAAATATATAGAGATATTAATATTAAATCGAGGGAATTTCACCAAAATGACCACAATGCACATCATATTTTAACAAAATATCCATTTTTTCATAAATTACCAAAATAACCAAGAGAATCACCCCCCACGGGTAAGGATGGCAACGAGGTGGGGATGGGGCGGGGTTTGCAATCCCCGGCCCCGGTTTATATACACATTCCCCGGCCCCGGTACCCGGCGGGTACGTGGATTTTCTTTTCGGCCCCGGTCAACTTTCGGCCAACCCCCGGTCAACACCCGAACTATTGAAGGCTCGAACAGTCGAACTATTGAAGAAGACGACTGGTGTGGTGCAGGTGGACTGGTGGTTGTGCGCCGACTTTATGGAGTTGGGTCGATTGACGACTGACGAGTCGAGAGCCGACGACTAGGGTGACTGTTGTCTGTCGAAGGTCGATGGTCCACACGAGGCCTATAGTGACTGTCGTTGTCGAAGGTCCACAGGAACAGCCGAACAGGACGTGAATAAGGGGAAGGCCGCCGGCCGCCGGGAAGGGGAACTGGGATTTGCTTGCCGATTTGGGGAAAGCTGAAAGCAGCTTGCAGCCGTGAAGAGTGAAGGGTAGAACGCAGAAGGGGTTAGGGGATAAGGGGAAGGTGACGATGGTGTTGGTGTCTGGTCTGGAAGTGGACCCTCGAGTTATTGTCAAAGCTAAACCAATTATCCAAAGCCCAATTTAACTATAACTATAGCCCAATAGACTCATTTATGAATTAATATTATGATATTATCACTATACCGGGTACGGGGCGGGTCGGGGGATACAATACCCCGCCCCCGCCCCAACCCCGGTTTGCCTCTACCGGGGATCCCCGGTACCCGTTTTAGCGGGGAATCCCCGCCTCGCCCCGTACCCGTTTTAGCGGGGAATCCCCGACCCACCGGGTCGGGTCAAATCACCATGCCTACCCGGGGGCATGTTTGACCATGTGAGCGATCCTTTCATTCTTTGACAAAAAAATAGAAAAAAACAATTTTAAATTAATTTGTGGGACACATATGTATCTGATTTAAGAGACAAACACTAGTTTAGGTTGAAAAGTAGGATGGCCCCACCTAACCCCGGATCTTCCCCGAGGGTGATCCAGTCATCTTATTTGACTGTTACTTCATCTTGTAGCATATAAATCGATTTGACAATTAATAAGTGTTTTTAATAAACAGTGAACGATTTTGACTGATTTTTTTTAAAACTATTTTAGGACCAAATGTCGTGGTTTTACTCTATAAAATCAAACACTCTACTCTCACAACCCGTAAACTATAAACACAATCTATCATGACAACCCTTAAAACAATATGAAATTACGTGAAAAAATATAATCTTTACTACTTTTTTGAAACGCATAAATTAACCAGGGAATGTTTTTATATTTTATTTTAAGTATTGTATTTTTTTATAACCACTAAATGTTAATATTTTATAATAATTGTTTATATGAAAAAAATTATTTGTATCTGATTTGGGGGACAAAAATCAGATATTATATATGAAAAATGCCATATTTTTAAAACCACGTACTTTGACCGCTATTTCGTCATTTAGTGGCCTATGATTTGACATCGATTTGACGATCTACTTTATCTTATTACGTACCGGTTTATATAAATAGGCGGTCAAAGGAAAACTTTGATGGATTACAACACTTGATGAATTTCCACCATAACCACTATCGTCGACAACAAATAATGTCAACATTTTCGATGAATGTTGGTGAACAACATTATGGAACATCAGCATGTCGTTGTCACTTAACTGATATAATATTTGTAAGGAATTCGTTTTATAAAATAACAGGAAAGGACTACATAAACTTTATTTTTTTCATGACACGTTTAACCAAACCCTAATGTGTTATTGGCGAAACCAAACATAATACATGTACGGGGGATCTTAACAGAAGGTACTTTAAGGTACCATTTTATCTCTTGGAATGAACCGCCACTTTGAAGATACACCAAACATCACCACTTTGACATGATTTCATATTTGTGTTTAATGGTGAAAGGTTGCGATGATAGATTGTGTTTAATGGGTTAAGGAATAAGGGTTGTGATGGTAAATTGTGTTTAAGGGTTGTGAGAGTACAAGACATGAGAATAGAAGTGAGAAATGGGGTGTGGAGAAAAATAATGAGAGGTTCATGCTATGTATAATAAATTTTGTTGCACTAAAAGACGAAATAATAATCAACAAGAAATAGGCTGGATCGCCCCCGGGGGAAGATCCGAGGTTAGGTGGAGGCGATCCCACTTTTCAAACCAAAACAATGTTTTGTTTCCTAAATCAGGTACATGTGAGGCCCACAAAATTAATTAATTTTTTTTTTACTTTTTTGGTCAAAGAAGGAAGGGATCCCCCCGGGCACGATCCTCTTGGCCGTTTTAATAATTTCTGAAAAAATAACTATTTTGATAAAATATAATGTGTATTGTGGTTATTTTGGTGAAATTCCCTTAAATTAACTATGAAAGAGTTTACAATTTATTTAATTTAAAATTTTATTGTAATTTTTAGACTTAATAACGAAATAATTTATTTTTGTTTTAATAATACAAGTTTTTATAAAAACAATAATTAAATATTTTGTTATAATTCAATGATTATTCTAATTATATATACTATATTATAAAACATTTGACAAAAACTCTTAAAAATCACTTTTTATGCGTAAAGTACTGTTTATTAATGCATATTATTTAAAACTCAAGATTGCAAGTAGATTGTGCGTAAATACAACTTATTAAAACTCCATATTTGAATTCGTGTAACTAACTGCAGATAAACAT